TAAAAGAGCATCCTGCAGCACTTTTTGTTCAATCCCCACCCTCTCCTCTCCATACTCCTCAGCACAACTGTCAGCCTCTTTCCATGTCCGGCTCCTCGCTCTCAAAGAGCACGGTGGCTCGGGTCCGTTTTGTTACACGCGCATATAATGCGGTTAACCCGAGGTTTTTTTTTTTGGCTCCGGTTGTTTGTTGTCTGTGCGTTCGGGGAGATTAAAGAGCGACGCCGGTGCGGCTACACGGGTACGCAGAGCATCTGTCAGCAGGGCAGCCTCCTGGACACTCTCCAGGAAAGAGGAAGTACGTCCGCTGGGCAAAAGCTAAATGAGGCATGATCAATGAGAATAATCGCGATCCAGTACTACACTACATCCCTCCCTCCTTTCAAAAAAAAAAAAAAAAAGACAGTGCCTTTTGTGGAACGAAAATGGGTTGCACACAAAATGGTAGCAGCCAAGGCTTTCACCGGGGCAGATGGGGACTGAGGTGATTTTCAGTGTTCCCATCACAAGACTTATGATTAGCTTTCAATAAAGTTTGGACCACATGCAGCAGGAAGTAACGCGCACACAGCACCTGCACTGTGCTGAAACCAACAAGAAGCCAAATCACACACAGCCTGGAAGAATTACAGCACAACACCCGAGCGTTAAATGCCTTTAAATCCAGATTCCTCCTCCTCCTCCGAGGAGGAGGAGGAGGAGGCGTCCGAGCAACGCCGAGGAGAGAGCGGAAACACGCCCTTACCAGCCCTACCGTAATCCCGAAATCCTGTTCTCCACAAGAGGCTGACCCATTCACCAAAGAGGCACTTAGGGTTAATGTAACAATTCCTTAATAACGTCCCTCAACCGCTCCCCCATCAGCACCAGGAAACTGCAGTCCTCCTCGCACTGTTTCCACTGCAGCACTACTTGTTCTCCCACACACACACACACACACACACACACACACTTACACGTACACACACACACGCTCACTCATTCTGTTGGTGACTACCCCCACCTCTGCTTCTGCCGATCCCCTCCTCCTCTCCCTCGCTCCACTCTTTCTATCTCTGTCACTGGAAGGATCCCCCTCCCATCCCCTTCTCCCCCCCCTCCCCCTTTTCTCTCTCCATCTTCCATCTCTCCCTCCACTCTCCGGCTCTCACTACTCAGCCGGGCTGATTTGCGATGCTGCTCACAAGGTGCTGCATGCAGCAATCTGTGCCCCGGTCCGACGCGCGAGGGGCAATCCGCAACCCGTCCCTGTGCTCCGCCGTCCGACCGGGCGCCCACACCCTCGCTCGCGCAGCACGGCGTGCAGCTGAGCGGCCGCTGCACGAAGAAAAAAGAACGGATATAAATAAGTAAACAAGGAAAAAGAATGACACACTGTGGATGAGACCTCGGCTAAATAACGAGACCAAGACGGGAAGAAGGAGCCCGTCATTTGCCATGCAGCTGCAGTCTGCCGTCGTTCCATTTCCATCCATCTACATGAATGATGGCTTTGCACTTGCTCCCCTCCCATCAAGGAGGATTTTAATCCCACGGAGCATCTTTGCCATGTAAAAAAAACAAACATTTGCTGACCTCACACTGCTTTGTGTAAGAAGCTCAGTGAAGACAGTTGTGGGCGACCCCCCGAGGACAACCGCAGGAAAAAGGCATCAAAAAATGAATACATCATTGAACAAATAGTGCAAAGTGCCACCCAGACGCCTTAGCTCACACTGCTGCCTTCCTTTGACAATGAGCATGTGACTAAATCTGCTAGTTTAAAGACAAGATGTGACGCACTCTTTCTCTTAGCACCAACGCTCAACCAGACAGTTTGGAGCCCTTCGGGTATCACAGCGCGTCACCGAGAATTATCATCGTCCCCTAAGTGAATCACCCTCCTTACCGGCCGGCAATAAGCACTTGAACAAAAAATCAATAAAGTCTCAATCGGAGAGAAAATGGAAGGTGGAGTGGGATGGCTTTTTGTAATTTCAAAACATACAACGGGAGGGAGAACGAGAGAAATGTAATTTGTTTCCTGTCTATGGAAAATACTGTTCCTCAGTTTTTGGTCCAGACAGCGATGCACGGTAGCTGGTTTTTGAATAATAGGAAGTGGTCTGGTAATTATAAGGGCGGTGGAGCTGTCCTGGTTAAACACATCAAGGAAAACGACACGAGCGCTGGCTTTTACAGCTCGAAATCTTCGTCTCTGAATTCTGGTTGCTGGCCAATTTTCCAGATTTCTGTTGTTGTAAACGAATCACAGAAAAACATCAATAGAGACAATGTGTCGGTCGTCTCTCAATGCTTTCTGCCCCCCCCACTGTCTGTGGCATGAAGCTCATTTGTTGTTTTGCAGCCGTGCCTGCGTCTACATCTATCTATATTTGATGTGTTTTAAATCATTTCTGGACTTCAAAGCTAGATCCGGCTTTGGCTACACACACAAAACCCGTTACCAGGATGAGTTCACCCTTTGTTTTTGGTCTTTTTATGGAGCGCTGGCAGCTCCAGCTCTTCTGGATGCTCTCCACCTCCATATTGTTTTGTGAAGGGTGAAAGTAAAATGGCAGCCTTGCGATGCGATTTGGACCAAACAAAGCCCGATAGTTTATATCCCCTCCTCATCAACAACATGGCAAAACATTTAGGCCGTGCTGCAGAATCTATAGATTCAAGCCCAGAAGCCCGTTCGAGCCTGCATCGCTTGCTTTGTGCGCTCTTTGTTACACAACGTGAGCGATACCGCTGCAGCCCGGTGGCCCTGAACCCAGCCGGGGTCTGATTCACCGTCTGAGTGGGAACAGGATATTGATCCAACTAGGACTCATTGCACGCTGGGTAAACCCATGGCGAGCAACACTGGCAGCCGCCCCATGAAACACGGAGAACAGACGCATGGTGGTTTCCAGTGACAGATGACAAATACGAATGCTCGCGTCATCGTTTTAGACTGCTGACCGCTGCTGTTACAGCACACACTAAATACACTAATGATCCAGCAATTTCATTGACTGAGTAGTAAGAGAGAAAGAAGAAAAAAAAAAAACTCCATCAGACCTTACTTTGAACTAAACAGGCCGAGTCTCCAGAGAGATTCAGTGCAACTCAGAATACATATTTAATAAGGCGCGCCTGCTGTGGAAGCCGACTGCATGGAGAGCAGCCATGTACAGCCAATCAGTCAATGGCTGTTCTACGAAATCACATGCAATGCCATATGTTTGAGCATTGAGCAACGAGTAGAGGCACGTGGCTGGGTTTTAACACGGTGACAGCACTTCAGAGACGCTGGATACGATCTACAGAACCTCCACAGGAAGAGAGCAAAATAGGAAAGATGACGAAGATTGTGATGCTTCTTTTCTATTTTGGGAATGTGAGAACAAAAAAAAAAAAAAAAAAAAATCGACAAGATGTGTCTCGAGTTTCCATATACAGCACACATGCACAAAGAATCTCATCCAGCGCTATTTTTATCAAGTGAAGTCCTGAGGCGGCGGAGCATTGTTGCCATTCTCCCCCGATCTCCAAATCTTTTGTAGCGAATGGTGCCTTCATGTATGTGTGGTAAATGTACTCCGCCGCGGCTGCCAGGCAGTGGGGGATTAAGATCTGTGTGTTAGGATGTGGTGCTGCAGATGAGAGGAGGTGCAAAAATGAGATTCTCTGCGTTTCATTTGGTTGGCCCATTTAAAATGTGGCAAGGCGAGATGGAAACCCCTCTTATGGAGCCCTGTTTCCATAATGTGCGTCTGTGCCGCGGTTCGGAAACTGCTCTGCGTTACTGAAGATTGAAGGTGAACTGCAGGTGACAACTAGTGAAATTGTACACATGAATACTCAGAATAACACCAAGTGCGTGACGTATTGAAGCAGCAACAAAGGCCATTTAATAAATAATTATTTGTGTTTCGTTGAGCTACAACTAAAAATTTAATTTTCATAATTAAATGCCAGCCTTCACTGGTCTCAGCTTCTGAAACACTTTCTCCTGTCTTACATTTTGGCAAAGAGCATTTCTTTTGGAATGTTGTTGTGACAAAGAACAAAATAAATGGACTTTATTGTCGCTCGTACAATAAATTGCCACACGACTCTCTCGGGTAAATGGAGCCTTTCAGCCCATTGCTTTGGTTTTTACGCCCCGCAAAAAAACCCCTCTAATGCTGCTGCATATTCAAACCACTAAGTGTGGACCACCATTCCCTTCGGCCCAAATAGATGTTGAGCTGATCAATGATACCAACAAAGAGACTGACAACAGGCAGTGAGGGCCGAACGATGGCAGACGGCCGTGGTAACGGAGTCGGTGTAAAATCAAACCGCCCTTCAAGGCGTGGCAGTTGCCCGCTGAGTTTTATTGGCTTCCTGCAGCCTCTGAGGCACTGGAGCTCACATCACCGGTGGAAATGACTCTTATTCATCGGCCGAGGCCCGGAGTGTGCACGGTGCGCTGGAAAGCCAACCAATCCGACGCTAAGTCATGTCCGCGCGCAGTGGGCTGCACCTTCATCCGTGGCCACGCCCCCTCCTGCAGACTGCACACTGCAGTGAGCTCCTTCACGCAGAGGACTGACGGGGAAAACCCAACACGCCATCCAGGGAAGTCAATACACGGCTATTCATTTTTTAACTCAACGTTTAACCCAAAAATAAATGTGATGCACGAATAAGTCAATTCTCATCAGTGTTTAATTACCGGACAGATAAAACAAGAAGAAGAAGCGTCCAGTCATAGATGGTGTGCAATCTGGGCCGTGCCTTCAGTGGACAGTAGGGACACAGGAGCAGGCAGGAAGGAGGGCGGCTGCAGAGGACGGAGGCTTCTAACAATGTGCAGTGATCTGTCTCCTCGGTCACAGCAATGACACTGGGCTGCACTGATGGAGTGGAGGATCTCCTCCTCTCTCCTTCTCTCCCCATTTCGCAACCTCAGAGGTCACGGGAGGTCGTTTGGCTCAGAGCCTGGACTTAACACGTAACATATACCGCTATAGTGGGATACTCACAGCCAAATGTCGATTCCTTGAAAAGAAGCCGGTAATCACAGTGAGAATGTTGTCAATCAGAAGCTCTGAAAGAGAAAGACAATGTGAAGTCAGAGACGCATAGTTCCATCGTGGAGTCAGAAGAAAGATCTCTCATTTATTTCTTGGAGAATCTTGGCGGAAAGGTCAAACCTCTCTGATTATGCCGAGCAGTTAAAGTGGTGTGAGTATCTTTGGAAGATAAGCCATGGCATTACATCATGCTGACACCCGGTGTGATTAGCAGTCTAGAATAAAGCCGTGGAAAAATGAACTTTTAATGTGCACACTGCAGAATCCCATTAGAGCCAAAAGAAGAATATTGATATGTGTCTCCCGCTCACATAAATAAGATGACATATAGCCAAGTACAAATGAATTATGACTGAAAGCTACACGTTGCACACTACGCCTCAGTTATTGAACCAAATTATGGTCACAACCGTAGTACTAGTCTAATTGTCGGCTGTGAACCAGAACAACAAAACGTAAGACTCCACCCAGCAAGCTTTGGGATTCTACACATTTTTGGCGAAATCGAGCCCCTTTTGAATAAACGTTTGTTTATAAGACATTGGATCCAATATTTAATTGACAAAATTTGAGCAAAATTGATTACTTAAACCAACTAATTATGAGCCGAGCCAGATCCCTGTGGCTGTTGTATTACACATTGTAAAAACAATTTGGTTAGTTTGGCACAAATAATGCATATAGGCGACATGTATCAGCGTTATTTAACCTGTGCATAAACCAAAGTGGACTTCCCGGAGTCTTGTCGTCGGGGAGGAGCCGGGGAGCAGGGAGATAAAAGGTTTGTGAGCTTTTAAGATAGCGGTATAGCCTCATCCACCCGGCTCCAAGCGAATTAGCGTTTTTTTTCCTCCCAATGACGCACTATTCCCTGCAGGTACAACAACCCGCTCTGAGATGCTTGCTTAGCAGCGAGCCGTGACCGAGGACTTTCCAGTGTGCACGACCAAATTAAAGAATTTTCAATTCCGTCCGTGCTCTTATAAAAAACCTTTCAGGGTTTTTTCTATTTGTTGCCAGATATCCTTCTTGTTTTCTCACCAAGACAATCGATTTCATGATCCACTGGACTTATTTGCTTTATTTTAATTGTATCACGAAATGCATCGACAGAAAGAGATGGCCGACTCCGGCGACATACCTGCAGTCCTCATAGAAACGCTGAGAAACTGTCAAAGTGAGTTATTTGCAGTTAGCTGAGGCACTAAAGTGACAGGGAGGAGTAAAGCAGTGCTTCGCACTGCAGCACTCCAGGAACACAAGTGGCCTTTTATTTCAAACAGAAAGGTCAACTGACAAGGACTGGATTCAAAACAAGAAAAGATAAACTCAATCAAATTGGATTGGAAACATAAAGGTTCTTGGCTGCTAAAGTCTTATATAATAAGATAACGTTAAAGTAGAAATATGCGTTATCCTGTAAAGGTACATTCATGGGTCCAATCTTACACAAAGAAGGCGGGAAAAAATGTAAAAGACCATAATTTGGCAGGCTGACATGGCCGACCGGCTGAGCCCGTTCTAAGATACTATCACGCAAAGGGAATTGCCTCTTGGTGAACATAATTAGATCTTTCACACACCTATGTATGTCCCCAAGGGGCCAAACTCTACGCAGAGGCAAAAGGAAAAGGAATTTAATGATTTAATTTCTTTCATCGCAGGTCCACGTGAGTGATCCGTGTTATTATCAAAATGGACAATTGGAAATCAAATCGTTCAATGTCAGGATGTAGGTGACATCAAATGTGAAACAGTTCCTGCACTCTGAGGAGGAATTTAGAACAGGTTGAGCTATAGAGAAATAATACCTTGCTGCTACATTATTAATGATATTCTATTATTTTTTCATGTTTTTGCAAATTCTAACTACAATACAATTGTATAATGTCCTCATTGTCCATCACATGCACTTTGACAATGATTGTTGCTTTAATTTCCTTGTATGTTAGTGTCTCCTGTAACCATTGACCGTCATCTCATCAGCGTTACCAACATTTTTGCCACCAATCCCCAACTCCATTTCATGTGTGAAAAGGATTCCAAAAAGCAGCGTTCTAGTTGACTCTCCACGGCTGGAACAAAGCTTTCTGCTGATATTCACACTGCTGTCCACGAGAAAGAGCATTCTTTGATTTATGTTTCCTCTTTATCCTCCAATTGACGAAGAGGGCAATGGAGTCCAAACAACTGGAAAAGTCACTCGGCACCGAACTACAGAACCATCCGTTCTTTAAACGAGATTACTGAGCAGCACTACGGTTGCAGAGCCCCCACGGCTCCCATGTTCTCCCCCCCCCCCCACCCCTCTCTCCCCCTCTCTGTCTCCAAGACACGTGGCTCTCCATGACTGCTTCTCCCACACAGACGTGGGGTGGGGGAGGAAAGGGGTGGGTTGGGGTGGGGGCAAAGGGAGCCTACAGGAGACTTTGGGGGGCTCTCAGCTGCCCTGTGCTCTCTGGAGCGTAGCGTATCAACGCTGGAAGAAGTGCGTGTGTGAGCGAGGAGCGTTCTACGCAGGAGGAGATCTGGCCCAAATTTAATCTCTCTCTTGTGAGGATGGAGGTTTAGAAAAAGAGAAGAAAAAAAAAGAAGGGCCGAGCCTGCTGAAATCCCACCGGCAGTGCTGCAATGCAGGGGTTTAACACGGAGCCAGAAGGCAGGCGGACGCTTTAAAGAAGCGGTCGTGCGATCACACACATTTTTTGCACAACCTAAAAGGCCCACGGGGGGTCCCGTGAAACACAAAAGGCAGTTTGACCTGAGACACCGGAATAAAGAGCGTCTGGCGGTCGGAAGGAGGGACTCCCGATGTCATGAAATGGGTTTTACGAAGCAGCTCTTCTTTAAGCTTGGTCAGACGTCACATCTCAGTGCACAGGTAGGTCAGGGATTTGCTTCACGTACGTATTAAGTCTTAAAGGTACAGCGTGTCGCATTTAGGGGGCGCTATGGGAAGAAATGAGATATTTTATCTTAAATATCTTCTGTTGGTATTGTGTAGCTGCAGCAGTTAATTCTGCACAAACTGAAACGTCCACGTTTCAACTGGTCACAGTCTGTAACCACACCACTAGACGCTTTATCCTTCACACTGTGTCTCCATAATGATGAACATCGATGCCTAAATAAGCTACGATCCAAGTGAAAACAACACCAAGACTTATTTAGTAATCCTATATTAGTCATAACTGGTCTGTGTGGATGCTGTTTGACGCAATCTCGCAAATGCCAAAGGATGTAGATCCCATAACTGGTAGTACGAAGCTGATTGAGGGAACGGGGCACATGAAAAGGTTTCCTTAATGCGCCGTTTGCCTGAATGTAAATGGAGGCGGCTGCCGTGGGCCTCGCTGTTTATCGCCCAGACAGTTTCCCCAGAGTGCGAGAGGGCGAGGAGCGAGATGGGTGGTTGCGTACATGACAGATCGCTGACTGTGGGAATCCTTTAAAGTCGGCAGAAACATGCAATCGACGACACTTTGGCATCTTCGCGCTCCGATGCAGCCGGGGCGGAAACAAGAGAGAGAAAACGCGCTGCCCATCAAACGTTTGATGGCAACGTGGCGGCGCTCCTCAGTGCAGGACGTCCTGGTCCACGTGTTTATAGACGAGATTGTTCCAACTAAAACCAAACGCTTACTAGTTTCTGATGGTTACACACTAATGAATAAAAGTATTTTATTTCTGCCAATATATAACCCCTTAAATACCACACTGCTCTTTGAATTTGACAACATTGGTAATTAAAAGCAAAGCACACTTTAGGAAGTGAAGTTAACACATGAGGCAGGAAACTAGCAAAAAGTGGGTCGTCGTGGCGCAGGGGTAGTGAGGGGAGCCAAGGTTGGTGGTTTGAGTCCCGGCTGCCCCATGTCTCAAGTCGAAGTGTCCTTGAGCAAGACACATAACCCCTAATTGCTCCCCGGGCAGAAATGTAAAAAGCCACAGGTTAAAAATGTAATGTTAGTCGCTTGGGTAAAAGCGTCAGCTAAATGACCTGTAATGTAAAATAAAAACGTCACATTAAATAATATTAATTTGAAAGATTTTCCCTGTTGATGTGCAGGACTTGGATGTATATGTGTTGTTAGTAACACTGTTAAAAAGAGTCACTTAGCCCGGGACGATCAATACCACGGTGTCGTTACGTTGCCCCAGTAAGGAATGTTAGTGATCTGAAATGGCTTCCTCCTCCGTTCTGCCACCAGCAATTGTTTTGGGTTGTGCCGTTGCTGGTTGGAACCCCTGCTGGCAGAGTTCTACAGCAGCTTAACCGACAATGTTGCATCCAGCATCTCGTCAGAAGTGAGCCCCAAATGGTACCGAAAGGCCCCTTTTGCCTCCTCCACAAATGATCTCAATGGACTATTGTCTGCAGGTTCTCCTTCTAATACAGCACAATAGAACACATATTTGCCAAATGTTTGGTATACACATCTACGGACTCTTACCGTGTACTGATTTGTAAACTGTCAATGAACTTGTTCCCATAAAAGTACCTTCAAGTAAATACCTCAAAGGCCAGTCCTCAACCTTTATTGTTATAATATCTATGCAGTTGCGGTCTCTCCCACTTAAAACCCCTTTTAGTGGCTATTTTAAACCGCCATTGACTGCCTGCTGACTCCCTGCTGACTCCCCACCACTGCTGAGTGCCCGCCCCCCCAGCTAACGGAGCTACCGGCACACACGGTGCTGCGTTCCTCTTGGCTGCTCTTGTTCTATAAGACTTTGAGGCGACTGCTTTCTCACATCGACGCTTGCTTATGAATTTATATTAAATGTTTTTTAAGAGATATTTGGTGTCATGACAATGGGTTGCATTGATTGCTTCATTCATTCAATCACTCAAACACAAAGGTTGCTGCAGACACACCTGGCACATATATGACATTTATTGAGTGCATTGTTGTAGTGAAAGTGTGTTTCCGCTGAGCCCCCACAGTGCTCACATGATAAGGGCAGACAGAAGCACTGTGGGCCGACACCCTTCACCCTCAGCATCTCTTACTATCCT